ACTATTTGTGAAAATCGAAGCAGATCATTGGTGTCGGTAGTTAGGCGACACATATCACACGTGTCGGAAACACACACGTGTAAGATGTTTTTATTATTACCGCTGTGCCTCCCTACTCGTGCTCATTCTTCTACTCACTACGACGTGCGAACAAATTAAACGCTTCATTGTCCCTCGTTGTAATTCCTCTCCGTAAAGGGCACTGACGCGCTGGAAAAGTTGAATGAAACTCCTTTGGAAATAGACGACGAAGAGGCTGTTGATGTCAGTGACAGAGTTCTAAACCAACACATACAGGAGGTATCACTTTTGTATGACACAAGAGTGAGTGAATTAGGTAAGATAGCTAAGAGTTTCTCATATAATGTACCAAATTCACTTTTTGAAAATTAAATTATTATGTCCGTCAACGTACACGCAATTATGATAACTCTTAAAAGGGGGTCAATGAGTTGCTTATTCTACAATGTTATTTTACCAGACTACTATAGATACAAGAATATTAATAAAAAAATATTATTTTACAGGAGGTGACCTACTTGAATTCGAGGATCTGTCCATAGCTCAGAAAACGGTCATCGTAGACGTTTACTACCAGTACGGTGGACCCCCACAAAATAGGTTTCCAACGTACTGGGGATACGTGACTAATCAAGAATGGTCAAGCGCTTTAGAGGAGCTGAGAAATTTCCGCGATTCTTACCCAGAGCGACGAAACAATGAGGGAGATTTGTTAGAATACGACTCCGGGAAGGTTTCAAGATGTGTAGGTAAGTTGTTTTTCGTTCCAGCATTTCTCATTCCCGATAATGCATACTACATGAACGTTGTATTTATTTATTTATTTATTTATTTATTTATTTATTTATTTATTTATTTATTTATTTATTTATTTATTTATTTATTTATTTATTTATTTATTTATTTATTTATTTATTTATTTATTTATTTATTTATTTATTTATTTATTTACATTATATATAACGCATAACTCCCTATATTCAGTAATAGTTTGGCGGTACTAGAAATATATATCATTAGTATACACCTGTCACCGTAACGCCATAAGTTACAGCGTGCCGTAATATTGCGGTATTGCACTGCGTATTTTCATCCTACCGAATTCCAAATATGGAACGATTAAAAACAAACATGACAGCCCCAGAGTTTGACCGGACTCCATACAAAGAAGTTCGCTCAACCTGTTTTGTATTTCGTAATTCCCATGATGTATCCTTGAGAGGAATTTAAAATAATAAGGGTATTATGAGGATACCGAAAAGTATGCACTCAGACTGAACACGGTCACATCATGTGCGTCGGTCGATACTCCCGCTCTATTGTTTTCGTGCATACTTTTCGGTGTCCTTATGATAACCTCATAGTATCATAAATAGGTAGACTTGTTTACAGAAATTGTTAGTGTCATTCATTTAGAACCATCGGTGTGGGATTGTCTAATTTACAAAGATTTCATCCAAAAAAGAGAGGGGTTCGTCAAAGACGGTTACGTTCCAATGCTTAGCGATGGTACAGTCATGGGCCAGTCTGGTGTGCAATTTGGTTATGGGATCAATCTTGGTGGCCTTGATGAAGAATATTTCCGTAACCTTGGGGTATCAGAAGAACTCATTACCCTGTTTAGACCATATTTTGGACTTAAGGTAACGCCATTTTCTTATATTTGTTGTCAGTGTTGCATCAAGGGTTGTATATCTAAACTCGCGAAATTTAGTTTTAAAATATTTTCTCTATTGTTGAATCATAAAATGTTAATGTTAATGCGCATGTCAAAGATTCACTGTTAATTCAAAATGAACATGCATTCATATTGTCAAATTTTTTAGGTGTAGATAGTAATTTCTGAGACTACCAGCATAGGATCACAGTATATGTCAGGTCGTGCAACTTGTACTTATTTTCCGTCCCTATAACAATACAGTATAGCATACAGTTTGTTAAATTATACACAACTTATTTTGACAACAACTGGTTCAAATGAGGTTTACAGGAACAGACATTTTTATTTCCCATTGATTTTCATAAGGGTGACATATGCAACATATAGAGGGTATTTTATGAATGACACTACAATATTAAATTTCATAAACGAGTGTAGTAAGTTTCATTTCCGTTGTGCCTCTTGTGGGAAACAAATTAAAATTTTTACAGAAATTTAATAGATCTAATATTGTAAAGAAACAAATTTGATATGCTCTTTATCCCATGTATCATTTCGGAGCTTAAAGGCTTAAACAGTGATTGTAATATGCGTTAATCAATGCATCGTAGAGCGTTCTGGTCATTTGCATAACAAAATCGCCGTTCAGGAACATCGGACTACCGCTAGTTTACCCTATCACTATTACGAAATATATTAATTTTTGAAGCCAGCACTATATTCACGGTGTCGGGATGCATTGGTTACATGTTTTTAGAGTTAATTCAAACCGTAGCCACCAGACATTCCGTGAAACCCACCACTAGATATGAGTGAAACTAATTACTATGCGCGTAGACCTCAAGGTTGGGAGAATTTTATGCCACGTTTCAGTCGTATTTAAAGCTACCCAACATATAATTATAGTTCCTAATATTTCTTGATAATTTCTTTGCATATGTCATATTGACTATGCTTTTATGATATGACAATGTAACGTAGTTTCTAAGCGATATATGTAACATAAATGGTTTCAGCGAGATGAAGCCGTGCAAAAATTGGAAGAGATCCCGTTAATATTATCAGAGGAGGATTCGAAGATGATCAGTGATTTGGTAATGAATCAACATATTGAAGAGGTTGCTGGGTTGTATGATGCCAGAGTAGCGGAACTCGGTAATTACACACATGTACAATACATTCGTGCTATTAAACAATTGTCTATGTATTTCGATGTGGAACGGTACAATATGATATCTATCTTACAGGTGATGCAGAGCTCAAAGTATTCGCGAACCTAACCGTGGCTCAAAAGACAGTTGTCGCTGATGTGTTTTATCAGTACGGTGGTCCACCTACAACAAGATTCCCCAGATTCTGGGGTTTCGTAACAAGCCAACAGTGGGATGAAGCAATTGGGGAGTTGCGAGACTTCGGTGACGCTTACGCCACTAGACGGAACAATGAGGCCGATTTGCTGGAAGGTGACACAATGGAAGTTTCGCTGTGCCAAGGTATTATTACACGTTGTAATTAAAAAGTATATATGTTTTGTCGTATTCTATGATACTCGAAAAATATGTTTACAAGGTGTTCGACGATTCGCTATGATTTATCTGAATTCTCGTTTGCGTTGAACCTAATGTCCCTGTTAATTGTTTTCGTAAACGTTATTTTGTTCTTGGAAGATGACGACGACGAAGATGACGATAACGACGAAATTGGTAAGTTATTTCATATTATTATTTCTTTTGAAATCATTCGGATTTTTAAAGCTTGTTAAAATAATAAAGATTGTTGAAATGTGACTTCTCAGGCGTTTGATGGACACGTCTTATTCTCGCATGTACCATGTATTGTTACTTCACAGGAGTATGGGATTGCGATGTGGACAAGGCATTCATCAGAGGGTTGGATGACTTTAATACAAATGGCAACGTTCCCGTCGATAACGAAGGCAGCCCACTCACTGACAAAGGAGTGATGATTGGTGCAGCAATTGATTTAGGAAATAAAGACTCCGACTATTTTCGAGAAAGTGGCATATCCGAGGAGATAACAATGCAGTTATTGCCATACCTCGGTCTACGGGTCAGTTTTACATTATATTGCTATACGTGGGGGGGGGGGTCCATGATGTTATTTTGAATAACTAAAAAAATTTCGCGACCAGCAAATATTTATTCACACAAGCTTCACATGTAATAAATACTTATTTCCACGGAGGCAACACATCAAAATATATACATAACAACAATAACAAATCTTAATAACATTAACATAATATATTGATACAGGGTACGTTTTTAAAAGAAATAATAAAATTGTTTTCTTTTTTTTAGAAAAAAAAATTAAAATATTGCAGTGACTTACTCTTATATTAATTGAACTAGCATAGCATTTCAGAGGGATAGCGTACAACTATTTGAAATTTATTTTGCGATTGAAAAGTAAGAAGAAACCTGGTTGAGTGATTGTGGTTTTGATATATTGTGATAAAAGATGTTTTTAAACAATCGGAGCTATCTCCTTGTTATTTTATGCATCAGTACAGCTTTATGTAATTCCCTACAATTACGAAGAGACAGTCAGACTAGTTTTTTGAGCATGTCCTCTCTGTGTGTCATTTTATCAGCTGCCAGTATTAGTCTCGCAGCTGTTTTGAGGGATTTTGTAATTTATCAGCCTGAGGATGTTTTTATCTGCATTGACAATGATGACATAATGTTTGAGTAGTCAAACAATTGCAGAATCAAACTATTAAACATTGCCATTAAACAATTCCTAGATACACAGTACAAGATTCGTCGCATAACACCAACTTCCATTACACATAAATTTCGGTATGTTCTTCGTATGTGAGATTCAATCATTTCTACCTTTAATTTGTTTAAAACCAATAGTTATAAGCTGCGATTTAGTATCACTTAGCACTTAGCAATGATATAAATATGATGATGATGATAATGAAAGTTCACTCGTAACCTTGACTTCGAGCTCAGATGGTGTTGCTGGGCAATGTCAAGTGCTATATCTTCTGCATACATATTAATGATAGTATACACTATACTATCTGGAATTCCATTTAGATAAAGTAAAAATATTAGTGGGCCAACTAAAAAGTGTTGAATGCTTACGGAGGTCTATGAATGAAACACCTAGACTTTCCCTAGATTGATGTCACGTGGCCATTTATCAGAGATGTCACTGTGGAATGGTGTTTTCTGAAACTTGATCAACAACTTGTAATTAGTTTGTTTTCTTCTAGAAATGGTGAAGTTGAACAGCCCTATAAAATAATACTAGGAATATTGTTATGGCTCTATAACTGTTAGTGACTGTTGCAGTGGGATCTGATAAATACACTGGGATTATTTTGGCCCTTTTCCATTCTGAGCCCAACCCCCCATTTTTAGTAAAACATCAATTTGATATGCGGCGGAGACTCTATTTGACTTGCTCCCATCTTTAATAGGCGGGAACTTATACCATCTAAACCGTTTGTAGTATTATCATCAATTAAATGAGATAATTTAGTCTTCGTTCCATAGAAAAAAATCAAAAGTCAAATATATTTTTCAATTGAAAAATATTACTCTTTTAAAGGATATAATTGTATTGGGAAATTTGCTAGCAAGATTCTGTCCCATGGTATTAAAATAATTCCTCGGCTTTGTTGTGTGTCATCTGTAACAAGACCGACAGTGCCGTGTAAGAGTTATATTTTCTATTTTTTCCTTGAATTAGTTGATTGATTTTGTCCGGATAGCCGAAGTATACCTTTCTTCTTCCGATTTAAGCATTATTGTTATCCGATTACTGTGATATTTCTATAATAGTCGGAAATACGGGGATTTTTTTGTTTGGTAAATAAAATAGTATCAATCATGAAAAGAATGTATTATATTTTTGTTGGTTTGACACCATCGTTGGTTTATGTGAAATACCGATAATTAACCCATTAAGTTCACTGCTTCTCACGTCATGAAAATATAAAGGATTACTTGTGAAAAAAAAAATCTAATCTGGCTCAACAAATGTTTGCAATTTAGTGATATCGGAGTGCACTGTGGGAAATCAATTAGTGGTCATGTTCGACAAACTAAGTCACTTTAAGATACATAAATTCGGTGTTACATTCTCGTGATGATTAGGAAATGTTTAGCATGTAATAGCTCCATGCGCTGTTTATGAACTCATTATGCTGTCAGTAAACTCGTAATATATTACGGATGTCGTTGTATTAAAGCGCCGCGTCGTCTTCGATATAGGTCCAATGCTTTAAGTATCAAATACAGCGCTTGCTTACAGGAAATCCGGACGCCCACTGGGCGACAACTGTGCCGCGTTTTTGTCAATGACACTGTGTTTATAATAACTTACCTAGGGTGTTATCGCTTAGAGTAAATCATTCGGCTGTTATTTTATGTACATGCTCTACAACTACATTGACACAGTCTTTTTTATGAACCCATCTAGGGTGTCCTTGCATACAATAAATCACTCGACCAACCCTTGGATTTGACGGAAAGTGATGCAATTGAACTGAGTGACAGAATTATGGACAGGCGCATCGATGAGATGGTACGAGAGTATAACTCACGAATTGAACAGCTGGGTAAGACGTGACATTCGTATTTTTACGAGAGAATTCAATAAATACATTCTTGATGTATATATGCTTAGCTCTTCAAACTATTACAAAAAAATAAATTTAAATGTCATAATATATCATACTTACATTTTTTATTATATAAAAATTCCGTTTGTAGTACATACATTTATTGTAACAAATTAAGATATTTTCGCGTTATTATACAATGTTTAACAAAATTGTAGTTGGAAAAAATGTGTCTACCCAATGGCCACTTTAAATACATTAAAAAGTATAACAATGCACTTAGTTACTTAGTTGAGACATAAAGGTCACAGTAGTCCATGTGAATATGCTGTTGAATAATTAAACACAATGCTTGGCACGCTATTTGTAGGCCGTGTTGGCTATGCACTGTTAACATCGCTGCGCTCTACCATAAGCAGTACACATTAAAACATTAAAAAGGTATATGTGATCGTTTATGTTTTATGTAGGATTTATCTCAGTTTTTTATTCTTTAGTTAGCGATGGAATTTCAAACTTGAGTAGCTGCAACAGTTTCTGTCCTTTTTTATTAGCAAGAAAATGGCGTACAGTTATTTTTATATAATGTTTCTTGTTTTCGGCTTGTGCTCACGAAGTTGTTAAAAACTTGAGTAGGTGTAATTATTTGGTTAACGCCCTGTTTAATACATTGTTATAGTACCAGATGTCTTAATATATAAGGCATCAATATAGTGTACATTTTCACAAGAGACAAACGTCCAGTTTGAACATCCGTAACCGCCTTCGAAATGTTAATAATGTCTAGGCAAGGCTGTCTAAATCTAAAAACATAAAACAAAAACGGACACGCTTTTTGGGGTTGCGAATGCCCATAAACCTGCATCACACCTTAATCGTGCATTAATATACACCTTTTTCTACATCGTTTTTATCAAGGTGGCAGTCGCAAGGAATTCAGTGAGTTGACCGTAGCCCAAAAAACCGTAATTGCTTCAGTATATTACCAATATGGCGGCCCGCCTGTGTTTCGATACCCCAAATACTGGGGATTTGTCACTACGCAAGACTGGGATGGTGCACTTGCAGAACTGAAGGACTTCCGGGATAGATATCCAACAAGAAGAAACAAAGAAGCGGATTATCTAGAGGATGATTCAGGAGACACCACGCTGTGTCCAGGTATTAAGTGCATCAATACACGTTTTAATTTAAGTTACTCACTCTGACGACGAAACACGAGAGTGGCATTGCGATGACGTAAACGTGCCACCCATTTACGTAATGAAAGCGCGTCGTTAATGTGTCAACAAAATACTGACTGGACAATCACGTGGCACGATTTATCCCTTTGACACCGTCGATAAAATATATATAACTTTTGAGTTATAGGGGATATTTTACTATGTCATATGACTGACATTATTTAGCCCTGCAAAGAAATATGGCTTTATATACAATACAATACAGTTTGTTTAAAGCTGTATTATCCGTTTTTTTTTTGTGGCATAAATTTGTTAAGAAACAAGTCAGGGAATTTGTTTGATAAACACCACTTCTCAAGTTGTCCTGTCCGTTTCTCTCTAAATTTAGTAATATGTAGTAAAATGAGTCACGAATTGTTATGCGAACTTTACCAATTTAATTTTTATAATTTATAATACCTATAAACCCGACATGCAACGCTGTGTCGAATGCTGATTTAGAATACGCTCAACACATTCGAATAGCTTAGGAGGTATGACATGTTCCATATGTTTTGCTAGGACGCAGTGGAAACGGATGCGATGAAATTTAATATAACATAATTTAACACATATGTCCAAGAGCGAAAATAATGTTGATAGATAATACAGCTTTAATATATAGTAAGTATCGTACTCAATTGACCTGCAGTTTCTGTGACGTGACTGTTTGAGATCACATCACTGGCAACTGGATTCCTAGTATAGTTTGTCGTCGTCATTTCCGATGGGTATTCGACCAGTTAACAGAACGTAATTGGTCTCTACGGATGAGGAGTCGCCCGCTTGTGTAAGCCTTCTGGATATCTTAGATTACATTTCATATACGACTGAGTGTTGTTTGTTGCGATATAAATACGTCAGACTATAAACACAAGAATGTTGTTTCCTATGTTTCAGAACCAACTCGGAAAGCGGTCTCAGTGGGAAGATGTCAGGCAGAAACCAGCCATACCCTCATCATATTAATATTTGTTACAGTTTTAATAATTAGATTACTCTAAAGATATACGGATACAAATTATATCGCCATTTTGAGGCAATAATCTTAGTCAATATGTGTCTGGTGCAAAATAATATAATAATTGCGAGCTCATAAATGAAAATAACTTACTTTGTTGTGTAATTATTAATGTTTTAACAATATATATTCAAAAATGCTCATTTAGTGTTGCTATGGTGATGATACCTTATAGTTTCTATTTTTATATAATAAATGATTATGGTATTGTAAGAACGTTGATAAATGTCTTTTCTTTGATCTAACGTCAGTTGGTATTCAGTTATTTCAGCGTGCGTGTGGTCCCGTCATAATTACAATACAAACACCGTGACCTCGTGACCACAATTTGAAAGGCGGTCGTCACGCCGCGTTCTGGTCGATGTGGGACTCATAACGACGAACACAACGCGTGTTTGTTTACATGAAATTTGAACACGCGCTGCAGACAACCACCGCTCTTTAAATTAGTTGTAACACGGCTGTCACAAATCGGTGAGTTTCCGGCAAATCAAATGTTAATGTGAATACGTGCAGATTAATTTTTAGCCAATGTGTCACATATTTGGATTTGTCGGTACTTTGACTCATAAACCATGGCATAACCAGGTACGGTATATATCCATCTTATTTCTAGAACGCCCGTTGAACAATTCATGGTGGTGCAAATATCGTATGTGTCAAAACAAAGAATTTAATAATTCATTAACAGTTTATATGACATGTGTATCAACCGATGCAAGGAAGCGATAATACGATATCTATATCCGTCTTTTAACAAGTTTACTTCACAGTAAATCAGCAGTAGTTTAATACAATCACTCAGTTCACTCAGTGTGTTCCGATGTGCGATAATCGGTGCGACAGATGTTTCTTGAAGTGTTTATGCTCAGTAGCTCCTTAAGTAGATACTACTTGTTTCCAAGGTAACCGAGATGAACAAAAAGTTCCAGTTATACAGTTCGGTATGTGTGAGTAAACGAGACATGAATCCCATGATGCAATGCAATATTCATTTGAATGCGCTTCGCGTGACGATGGTGTCACTTTAATTGGCAGTTAGTTTTATAAGAATGATCCTCAACATGTTGGTAGACAGTTCAACGGTGGTAATACGAAGATCATAATCATTCACACAGCTCTTCACTTTACTTTGACCATGTGGCCATCATGCCCCTCGCATCTTTCGTATCACTATACATTAGGATGAAAATTATTCACTATAATACGTTAGGTTGTAATAGAATGTACATTTCATACATCACGAAGATTTATGTTCAGCTATGACGTGACATTTATTGAAATATACACGTGATCAATGGACACACGCAGTCAGAATATGATATAAAATACGCTCACCAAACTATTCTTTCCGATCGACATGTACTGTAGAATACTTTATTTTTGCTTGGAATTGATTTTCGATATGATTTTCGCTGAAGGAATGATTCAGTGAAATAAAATCCAGGGAATATACCTTTTTTTCTATAATTTACATTCAACTCATCAAAAATCAGTGAAAATAAATTTTAGCTAAAATAAATTATTTTATAGTAACTTAGAAAGATTTTTAGGATAAACAAAATACTACGTCTTGCACTCCCCCATATAGTCGAAGAAGGTGATTGATACCACAATGTCATGTTCAAACGCGTGTCTCAACAAAACGTAATATCAATTTGGAACAACGCCCGCCCGAGCTTGATGTTCAGCCACACGGTAACGCGATTATATCGACCACTCTCCCGGATGTTGCAAGATTGGGGTGCAAGCAAGACGCGTACGCCTGCCATTGTCACGAGATCAAATACAAGTTTACCAACTGATATTCGGTAAAAGGGAATCTTACATTATCACAGCGATTGGTACATCCATAAGCACAATATCGTGCGTGCAAATTTACATTGCACCCCACATCCGGTATGCGCGCATACTAAACGGAAACGAAATGTACAAAACACGCGCCCTCTAGCGACGAAGCGCTTCTATCGATTACAGCAATGACACATTTGGATGTGTAGTAGTTAATCATTTAGAATGATTGTGTATCGATTATTTTTGTATGAAACATTATTAAACACAATCAAATAAATAAC